TAGCTGGGACCACAGGCACCCGCCACAACACCCGGCCATTTTTTGGTTGCAGCCATCATTGTTGTTTGGCGGGCCCGGGCTGGGAATTCGAGCCTGCCACCTTAGGTGTGTGTGGCTGGCGCCTTAGCCGCTTGAGCCACAGGCACCGAGCCCCTCCCAGATTTCTAAGGATGTTGCATACAGCCTGGGGTCCAGTTATAGACTTGTCACAGGAACAGAGCCCCCTCTAGGACAAGGCGTAGTGGAACCATGGGGTCAGAGCAACTGCAGAGTCCCCACTGGGGCAGTGCCCAGTGGAGCCTTGGGTGAAGGACCACCCCTGAGACCCCAGTAGACACACCAGCAATTAACAGCAGCCTGGGAAAGCCCTAAGCACAGGACTCCTGTGAGAGCAGCCATGTGGGCTGAGCCCAGCAAAGCCACACATGGTGGGGTGTCCTAGAACCTTAGGGGCCAGTCTTCCCCTATTTGTCTAGAAGGCAGGATGTGGAGCCAGAGATTGCTCTCACGCCTTAGGATTTAGTTCTGTTTTCCCTGATGGGTTTTGGACTTACTTGGGACCATTATTCCTTTCCTTTGCAGTTTTTGCCTTTTGGAATAAAAATGTCTACTCTGTGCCTGCCCCACCATAGTATTGCAGATGCATATACCTTGTTTGATTTCACAGGCTCATAGCTGGAGGAAAATCCACATTCACCTGTGAACCTGTAATGAATCCTGCCTTGAGTCTCACCCACTTCTAATTTAGAGGAGCTTTTGGGGTTTGGACTTTGGAGTTGATGGTGGAATGAGGACTTTTGGGATTATTGGGATCCTCCAGTATCCCTGGAGGTAGCGTGTCTGTTATCTATTTTCAAGAATTTTTTTTTTTAGTGTTCAGAGTTTGACATGTCCTGGTGTAGATTTCTTTGGGTTTATCCTGTTTGAGTTTGCTTGACTTCTTGAATCTGCGTATTCATACTTTTACCATATTTGGGAAGTTGCTAGTCATTATTTTTGCAAATCACTCTTTCTTTCCTCCTCTTGGGCTTCCCATGACACAAATATTAGACGTTTAGTAACTGTCCTAAAGTCCTTTGAAGCTTGGATTTAATTTTCTTTTTTCCTCTAATTTCTCTCTTTTTGTTGTTCAGATTGGACCATTTCAGTGGGTCTGTCTTCAGTCAGGTTCACAGATCTTCCCTCTCATCTTCTGTTACTTTGGTTATTTTGCTTTATACTTCTAATTCCATTTGGTTCTTTTATATCGCCTATTTTTTTGCTAAGACTATTTTCACAGGAAATTTAGCATCTATATCTTCTTATCCTTTTCCATCTGTCCTTTTGTCTTTTCTGTTTTCAGTTTTCACTCTTTTATTTCTTCTCTTGAGACAGAGTCTCACTCTTCTGCTTGGGCTGGAGTGCAGTAGTGTAGTCATAAGGCATAGCAACCTCACACTCCTGGGCTAAAGTGATCCTCCTGCATTAGCCTTGGGACTACAGGTGTGCATCTGATTTTTCTATTTTTTTTTTTTTTTGTAAAGATAGTGTCTCTCTCACCTCAGGCTGCTCTCAGACTTCTGGCCTCAAGCAGTTCTCCTGCCTTTGCATCCCAGAGTGCTAGGATTACAGGCTTGGTACCCAGCCTTCACACTTCTTTATTAATCAAGTAATTTCGGATTATTTTCTAGAGATTTTTGGGTATAGGCAGTCCCTGGGTTACAAACAAGATAGGTTCTCTAGGTTTGTTCTTAAGTTAAATTTGTCATAAGTTGGAACAGGCACATTTACCTATCACCCGGGATAGCTCCTGTTCATAAGTGTGAGTCATACGTCAGTCAGATATTTGTAACTTGGGGACTTACCATAACAGCTTCTGTTCATCAGTGCAAGTTGTGCATACAGCAGGGACTGCCTGCATTGCTTTATGAGACCCTGATCTTATTTCTGTGCTGTGGAACATGGGGGTCTTTATTAGTAGGCACCTGGTCTTGTTAGAGCCAGGCCCACATCCCACTGCCCTGCGTGGGCTCCAGTCTCTGAGGCCACTGCTGTTCAGGCTGGTGCCTGCTCCTAAGACATGCGGCTGGTCTGTGAGTTCTCGAGTCTCGGGTATGACCACTGTAATCCAGTCCACGTATGTGCTGTTTGAGTGGGAACCGTAGTGGCTTTAAAGGGATACTTTCCCAAGCTCTCTCCTCTGCTGTTGGTTGCTGGGCCCCCACTGGTTCTTCAGCCAAGCAATTGGGACTCTGGTTACCCCACTCCGACTTACCCTTCCTTGATTGGGCCATGTCAGAGTCCACATGGCAGAAGAACAGAGACAAAGAAACAGAGTTTGGCTCTCCAGGTTTCTGGAGCCGCTGCTCCTACTGACAGGAACTGCCTGAGCACAAAAGAATAGGAGGGAGAGGAATCTGGGCACCCCACACTCTGGGGCAGCACCTGTTCCTGTCCCAGCCCGCAGAGCTAGCTCTTCCTGCCTGGGGCTGGACTCACTCACAGTGTCAAAAGCCGGGTTGAGCCACCAGTACTGAGGTAGAATGGCCCACAGTGCTAGTCCCAAGGGACTCGGTGGGGCTTCTCTTGTGTCATAGTAATGTGTCTAGATACATGTGGTGGTTTTTTGTTTAGACTTCAGCATGATTTTTCACAGATTTTTGTCTTTTTGTAATTCAGCCATTTTCTCTTTAAACTCCCAAGTTTCTGCCACAGCCCCTGTAGATGGGGATCCAGTCCACACCTCCCCATTCCTTTCCTATAGCTGACTGTCTCTGAGTGATGATTGACCTGCTTCCTGACCATCACACCAGGTGTATTTGGCCCAATGTTTTTTCTTGTATTGGAACTTGTTATAATTTATGTTTGCCACCCTTTAAATTCCCACATGTTGATTTGTCTGCTTTTGGTTTATAGCTTAGAATTTGGGTTTATTTTATCATTAGTTCCTTGACTCTAGACACATCTTAAGTCCTTTTTAGGGAATTGCTTGATTTTTTTCAACTTCTCAGAAGCATATTTGCATTTAATTTGTTGGCTCCCTTCTCTGGTAAGATGTATTCTCATGGGCTTCAGGTCTGTCATTCCAGCCTGCCTGCATGCCTATTTGGGGACTATGTGCTACATGTATTGTCAGCCTTTCCCCATTGTCCCCTGTGTCTGGTGGTTCATAGTTAACTCTGTGATCCAGAGCTTCCCTGTGAGGTCTGCGAGTTAGTGGGGTAGGGCCTCTTTGCAGGCCATGCTTCCCTACAGGGCCTTTCCCAATCCTGTTGACTCAAGGCCCTGCCCTAGTCCTCTGCCCTCCCTGAGGCCAGCCAGGATCTGAAGGGACATTTTTACCTTGTTATTCAATTAAGATGAGATGTCTTTTATCTCAGTTGTTTTGATTGTTGCCATTATTGGAGCCAGGGAAGTTTGATACCAGCCTACTGCCCACATTGGTATTGACAGCTGGCCCCATGGGAGGTCCGCTATCCCTGCCAAATCTTCCTCATAACCACTCTGGGAACCCCTGAGGTGAAGGTGGTGGCCCAGACAGAGCTGACCCTTTGCTGCTGTCTTTGGACCTGGCTTTTGTCCTCACCTCCCTGAACTGTTCCCACCCACAGCCAGGGAACTCCTTCAAAGATCTGACCACTTGCCAGAACCCCTTTTAGTTCCCATGACACCTTACCCTGGCAGGCCTAGACATTGCCACCCACTAGAAATGTGCTCAGGCATCTCTTTGAGGTCATGGAGGGTAGACAGGGCAGTGACAGTTGCTGACCATGTGCCCTTATGCCAGCACCTCAGCACATCAGGTGGTCACCACAAGGCTCACACCACTCTTGTGTCTTGGGTCCCCTTCCCTGAAGACAGGTTGGACGACAGTATGCTGTTGCCAACTGTTTATTCAGGACCCTGAACAGGTGGTAAATGGACATGCAGCACACTCAGGCCCACAGCAGACTGACCAGCATGTCCCAAAGACCATGGGGGTATAAACCCAGGTCCTCTGCTGTCCACACCCAGTTGAGGGTGCTGTGCTGATTGTCCCAAGTGCCCTAGGCAGTGGCCAGCTCAAGGCTTTGTGACCCAACCTCTAGCCTGGAGGTGTATATGAGAAGGGGGGTTCTCCAGTGTCCGGTATACTCCAAGCTGGCCAGGAGCAAATGGCAGGTCTTTGGCACTGCCCACACCAGCCACCCTGGTACTGAGTGTCATGGCTGCGTGAGTAGGTTTACGTGCAAGAACGTGTTGGGGTCCAGCTGTCCCCTTTCTAAGGCGTTATACTCTTGTGAGCTGAGCTTCTCTGCTCCCCACATGGGACAACCACAGGCCTTGATCCTGTCCTCAGTGGGACCCCAGTGGCTCCAATACACCCAGTGACCCTCAGCGCCTCTGGTTGGCAAACCAGGAGAAGAAAGGGCGGGGATGTGGGCGTGGGGCTTGGAGAGTGCGCACAGTGCGAGGGGAGCGCCAGGCTTTGATGGTAGCATCATCGCTGGCCGTCAGCAGGAGCTCCTGCTCTTGGGGACTGAAGGCAACCGAGTTGACCACATCCTCATGCTGCAGCTTGGCCAGGCAGATGTTGTAGTGGCGGTCCCAGATGTAGCCATGCCGGTCCTCAGCCCCACTGCCAAGATAGCACAAAATAAACCCACTGCCCCACCTACTGATGCCTATACCTCCCCCAATCCCTGGACCATCCAAGCCCGCACCTGGCCACAAAGTCCCTGCTGACATCAAGGAAGATGAAGAAGCACTCGTCATTGGGTGTGTAGGCGCGGTGTGCACGCAGGGCCCGCCTCACCTCCCGCATGGTCTTGAGGTCAAACACCAGGAGATCAATCTCCTCTGCGATGGGCGGTGGCTGCATGGGGTCAGCCACCACCGCACCACTGGGCCAGGCACGGCTGTTGACATACAAGTACCTGGGCAAGGGGAGCACAGTGCTAGGTATGGGCCACCTGCAGGCACCCCACCCAGCATGCTGTCAGAAGCCCACCTGTTGTCAGGCGACAAGCCCATGCCAATGATGTGGCCATGCACATCGATGACATGGTCCAGTGCATCAAAGAAGGCGTCAGAGCCCCGACCCTCTCCCAGCACAGGCCCTGCCGTAGTCATCTGGTGTGGCAAGATCTGCTTGATGCCTGCAGGGTAGGCCAGGGTGAGAACCCCCACCCAGCATCCTGGGGGCCATCACCCCTAGACCAGCCCCCACCCTGAAGGTACCTCCATGCCTGAGTGGCCCAGAGGTCTGTGGGTCTGCCTGCTTGACAGATTTGAACCAGAGAGGCCCTTCTAGTCACTGATTGGCTAGGATCCAGCCTGCATCTGTGCTGCCATTTATCATTTGGCCCCCCATGGGACCAAGGCCAGGCATGGGCCTGTACCCCCAGGAGCAAATGGATGATCCCAACTGCTATGGACTCATGTGCTGTCTGGCCCTTGGGTCCCCTGCCCAGCATCCCTTCCAGGCTCTTGGGCAGCACACCAGCAGCCTGCCCCCAACTGGCCAGCCTGCTCTGCCCTGCCCATTACCGATCTGATGTGGTGAGTAGGTGAGGCAGCCCGTGGTGAAGATGAGGTACTTGTTCCTGGTGCTGGCGGTGCTGCGCTCAGGGGGCTTGGTGTGACCCTGGGCCAGCAGCTTAGCCACTCTCGTCTCGAGTACACGCTCTGATAGTGGTGGCTGAGTCCGCCCATCTAACACACGGTCCAGGAAGCGCCGAAAGCCCTCCTTGGCATGGGCAGGGGCTGGGCCAGCCACTTCATCTTCACTGTCACTGCTGCTACCCAGATCAAAGACACGGCAGGGGGCTGTGGCTGTGTCCCCAGCATCCAGTAGGAGGTCTGGGCTGTCAAATCTGCTGCAGTCAGCCACCATCACTGTGCGGATGGTGCTGGCATTGAGGTTCTGGATTTTGAAGAGCCGCTTCACCACGTTGACATTCTCTGACTCCACATCCTGCAGGCAGGGGTACAGCTGGGTGGGCACCAGGCTGAGGGGAAGACAACCCATTGCTAAAAGCCCTGCTTCACTTGCCCCCAACCCACGCTGCCCAAACCTGGAAGGCATGGTTGAGCCACAGCACTGAGCAGGAGGTGATGTCCCCAATGCGGTGCAGGTTGCCAGAGATGAGGCTGGTCTCTGTGAGCCAGCAGCCAAACACGTCGTAGGGTTTGTTGCGCACTCGGGACAGCAGCACGAAGGAGTCTGGGGGGAGGCCATGGCTGGGCAAGCTGCCAACAGGGGGTGGGAAGTGGCCTGTCCCAGGGCCTGTGCTCACCTAGGCTGATGACAGCAATCTCACCCGATGAGGAGTTATGTGGCCCTAGGAACACCCCAGAAGCCAGCAACAGCGAGTCATCCTGGTTGAACTGGGAGAACTGGGTGTAGCTCCAGTTGTAGGGCCGCATGTCTGCGCTGTGCAGCAAGGAGATGGTCAGGTCGTTGTTCCAGATCTGCACAGCAGGGGCAGCACTGGGTAACTACCCAGGCAGGTCCCAGGTAGAGAGTTGTCATAGTGTTATCAGGCCCTGGCTTTGCCAGCTCAGCCCAGAAACCACCATGGGGCAGGAATGCCTTCCAGCCATCTGTCATGCACCCCTACCCTGAGGCACATGGGTACAGAGAGCTGGTGGCCTGCCTCCAGAACAGGAGCCTTCCTGGAGACATTCTCCTCTTGCTGGCAGCTGGAGTTACCCTCTCCCCCCAGTCCTGTGTGGTCCTGGCAGAAGTTATTTCAACCTGGTACTCTCCACTGGATTCAGGGAGGCTAGCCTGTCTCTTACCTCTGGCTTGACCCTTCCTTCCCACCTGATTAGGTTAGGGGTTGGGGAGTACATCAGGTGCCTGGGTAGCCTCACCTTCACGGTGCAGTCCTTGGAGCAGGAAGCAAACTGGTATCCTGAGTGGGAGAAGCTAAGGTGCAGGACCTGGTCAGAATGCTCCCTCAGTGTCTGCACCTCCACACAGGGCACCATGTCATAGAGCCGCCGGAATTCTTCATACCAGGATGTGGCCGCTGTGGGAGGGGCAACATCACCCTGGGGTTAAGGCTCCTTTTCTGTAGTCAGGGCCAAGCACCCAGAGTGTAACTGCAGCACACTTTTCCCGCTCAGTGGTGTCCTGGGGACCAGAGGCTACTGTGCCCACTAGTTCTGGCCTCAGCTGGAGAGCACACTTGGTAGTTAACGGAGATCCCTGTGTCCCCACCCCCGAGGGTCCTGGTCCACCTGTAAGCCTCCATGCCACACCCACAGTCCTCAGAGAGGATGGATACTCAGGCTGTGCAGAGTCTGCATGGGCCTGGTGCTGTGGATGCAGAACACAGGATGGTGCCAACCCCAGCCTCCCACCAAGCCCACCTCGGTGGACTTAAGGGGTAGGCACTCACTGACCTGGGTGTCGGGGCACATCTCGGGCGACCTGATAGTAGCGGTAGAACTGCTCCCTCCAGAGGAACTCGTCCAGGGATACAGCATGCCATTGGCGGCACACCTGCCCGGCGGCCAGCACATCAGCGGGGCCCAAGCTCAGGAAGATCTGGTAGATGAGGCAGTCGGGGAGCAGGGGCGTGCCCCCCTCTTCCATCGTGACATTCTGCCCAGGCGGCCCTGAAACCCCACGAATGGCTGCCCTTACCCGGGGGAACCAGGAAAATACTGACACCACCCCCCAGCTCCAAGAAGGAACACACGGGGCTGTTCCTCCAGCCCCACCAACTGACCCCGCTTGGAGGTCTGCTGGCCGGACCGTGTGGGGAGGGGCGCGGGCGCTGCCCCACGCTGGGCAAGGGAGACCCTGGGCGCCCCTCTGGTGGAGGAAGTATGTGACACCCAGCTCTCCCGTCTCTGGCCTGACCACGGAGGCTTCCAAACTGTCAGCACCGCACAGACTTCATTCCCAGAAGAGGCGCGGCGCGGCTGGCCCTCGGCCTCTGCCCTGCGACCCTACGGAAGCTCTGCTGGGGGGCGGGGGGAGGCGGATAGCGACTGCCGCCGAGAGCGGAGCGGGTGCCCTGGAGGTGCGTCCATTTGCCTAGGGCGGGAGGTGGGTGGCGCTGGGGACGACCGGGCAAGGCCGGACCAGCCCAAGTGGCGCCCAGACGAGGATAGGTGGGACCGGACGAGCCTAAATAACGGCCGGACAAAGCCAAATGGTACCAGCGAGGCGGGAGATTATCGGGAGCACTCACCGCGGCCGCCTCCGCCCTCTGCTCTGCCCTCAGCTCCAGCCGCCGAGTCTGAGTCTCTACAGCGAAGCCTGCCAGGCTGGATGCCACGATTCCCGAAGCATCGATGGCCGAGAAAGGCCAAGCGCAGAGCAGCCCGCGCCGGCCTCTCGTGCGCCTGCGCCTCGGACCCCGCAGCCCCTCAGGCACTTTGCGCGCCTGCGTATGACCGGGCTCTTTGCGAGCAGTGCCCCTGGCGGCCCGGAGGGACGATGGCCACGCTCCAGGGCCTGAGAGCTGTGCTGCGGAGCAAGATGGAAAATAGGTTCCAGATGCGCCTCCTGCACTCCCTGCAGCGGGCCCTGAGCAAGAGGTTTTATGAACTCACTGATACTAGCCACGGGGTTAAGACTGGCTGGTGGCAGGTTAAAGGAGACAAATGTCCAAAGGGGTGCTAGGGGACATGGACAAAGAACAGGAGGTCAACTTGGACTTTATACATAGGACATGGTGTCGGGTCCTGCTGGGAAGAGCAAGTAATGCTAGGCTTGTGAGGGGGCTGGAGGGGACCCTGGACCAGGACTTAAACGGGAGAAGCCCGGACAGATGTAGACTTCCTGGGTTGGGCTTGTGGCAGCTGTGGACAGTGGACTCTGACCTCAGTATCCGGCCCTCAGCCTCCCCCAGTCCAGCTGCCACTGCCACTGCTGCCATGCTACCCCCTGGGACCGTGCTTCTCTTGCCTCTGCTCCTGGCAACCACCTTGCTGGGCCAGGGGACTCGGAGGCCATCACGGCCCCCTTCCCCCATCGACACCATCCAGCCCCAGGCCAGTTTTGATGCTCAGCAGGTAGAAGCTGGGGGGAGATATGGGCAGGACCCAACCCTACTCTGAGGGGTGGACACAGACTGCCCGTTACCTCAATGCTCTTGAACCCACCAATTGTGGGCGGTGGCCAGTTTGCAGGGATGTGGTTCCTCGTGGCTGTAGGCTCTGCTTGCCGCTTCCTGCAGGAGCAAGGCCACCGGGCTGAGGCCACTACACTGCGTGTGGCTCCCCAGGGCACAGCTATGACTGTTAACACCTTCAGAAAGCTGTGAGTCCCAGAAAAACCCTAAACCCAGTCCCCTACTCCCACTCTGGCCCTCAGTCCCATTCCTGCTGTGGCCTGGACCCGTGTCTTGGGGTGAGCCACAGTGCCTGCCATACCTTCTCCCCACCCCCAGGGATGGGATATGCTGGCAAGTGCGCCAACTCTACGCAGACACAGGGGTCCCCGGCCGCTTCCTGCTCCAAGGTGAGGCAAGGGCCCAGGGTTTGGGGGCCAGGGCTGGAGGGAAGAGGCTGATGAGGCTGCTCTGACTCTGACCCAGCCAGAGGCGCACGAGGAGCCTCGCACATGGTCATCGCTGAGACCGACTACCGGAATTTCGCCATCCTGTACCTGGAGCGGGCTGGGCAGTTGTCAGTGAAGTTGTATGGTGCGTAGTGACTGCTCTCTGCACTCCTGCAGAAGCCATGGTGGCTGCTGGGAGAGCCCAGGTGGACAACACAGACTGCTTCCCCTATCCTGACCGTCCTGTTGAGCAGGAACCCAGTGTAGTGTCTGGGGGGAGGGGCAGGCGACAGCTGGTGAGCTGAGTCCCAGTCACATACAGACCCCGTCCCCAGCACCTCCCTGCCTGGTGCCTGGACCCCAGGACCCCTGTCCCCTCACAGCCCGCTCCGTCCCTGTGAGCGATTCAGCCTTGAGTGGGTTTGAGCAGCGAGTCCAGGAGGCCCATCTGACTGAGGACCAGGTCTTCTTCTTTCCCAAGTATGGTGAGTGTCTCCAGCAGATTTTAGATGCCTTCTCAGCCTCCCCTCTCCCTCCTGGCTGAGGCCCCTATCAGTCCTGACCACTGCTGCCTGGACCTCCAGGCTTCTGTGAGGCTGCAGACCAGTTCCATGTCCTGGATGGTGAGTGGGCAGCAGGCCCGGGTGGGGGCACCGCAGTGAGGGCTGCGTGCTGAGTCCTTCTCTGCTACAGAAATGAGGCACTGAAGCCAGGCACACAGGAGAAGACCCGCTGGAGAGGTACCCTACTGGAGGGGGTGCCTGCTGCCCCTCCTCACGGAGCCCTGGGCACCACTAGTTGGTCCAGGCCTTGGGTCAGAGCCTGTCCCCAAGCTCAGTGGCTGTGAGGGGCATGCCTTCTCATTAAATGTCTCAGACTGAGCCTCTGACTCCTTTTTGTCCACCCTGGACCTGTCCTCCCATAGAAAGCATTCTTCTCTGTCTTCCCCCATTCCCACCTCCCTGAGGCTTTCTGTTTGCTGGAGATCATCGTAGCATGCACTGGGCAGATTTCACCTGCTATGGTGATCTGGGAGGGGTGTTCCTGGCAGGCCTACCCTGTGCCCTGATGGGGTCTGAGTGCTCAGCTTGGCTGCAAGACTGCGCCTCCCTGGCCATTGTCCTACACAGCCCAGGCTGCTTTTCCTCCTCAATGGGGCCACTTGGCTCCCACCATTTCTGTGTCAGCCTCCCAGCAAGGCCCTTATGAGCTTGCCTTGACTATGTTAGTATTTGGCATTGTCCACTGGGGCCTGCAAGCACTGCCCAGACTTTACATGCAAGTCTCATCCACCCTCACTGTCCCTTCAGGAACCTTTTGGGAGAACTTAGGGGAGGGTCTGCTCTGTCCTAAGAGCAAACATCAGCCCTGGCTTGGTGCCTGTAGCTAAGTGGTTAGGGCACTGGCCACCTGGTCCAGGCCTGCTAAACAACAATAACAACTACAATAAAAAAATTATCAGGCATTGTGGCAGGTGCCTGTAGTCCAAGCTACCAGCTACCTGGGAGGCTGAGGCAAGAGAATTGCTTAAGCCCAAGAGTTTGAGGTTACTATGAGCTGTGATATCACAGCACTCTACTGACAATGACATAGTGAGACTCTGTCCCCCCTCAAAAAAAATCATCCCTGGGTTGGTGCTGAGGGATCCAGGAGCTGGGTGTCAGCCAAACCAGCTGGCTGGGAACTGGCCTTGAGAGGCCCCAGGCATCCATCTGATAAGTATTTTGAAGCACTCTTGATGTACCAGGCCCTGGGGCCACAAGGAGGGCAGGTCCCTACTCTGGAGCTCCGAATCCACTACAGAGCCACCAACCAACCAATGTAGTAGGCCTAGGGGTGGAGGAACCTTGGGCCACCAGAGAACTCAGTACACCCCAGCTGAGCTACAGTACACAGAATAGGAAGGACCACTGTCCATTCCCAGTCCTGGCTTAGTTGAAGGACAAAAGGCACTCAGACAGAGGTTTGGGGGAGAAGACCACAGCTACCCTGGGACCACTGTGTTGGTTGTAGGGGGAGCTTACACTCCCCCTGCTGCACTGTGCCCCCCCAGTGTCCCTCCACAGTTGGGCTCCCAGTGAGGGACAGGCAAACAGGGCTGGGACAAGGTGGGCCCTGACCTGGGAGAAGGCCCAGGAGAGTCTGCCCTTCCATGGCCCAGACACCACAAAATAGAGACCGTAGGGCACCCTATCACAGGGCTTTAGGACTTAAAGACCCTCAGCCTCATAGCCTAAGCCCCAGAAGAGCCTCACACCCCATGGAGAGTAAGGGCCTTGCTCTGGGGGCAGTTGGCTGGGTTCATATGCTCTTTCCTCTTCTCCCATACGGAGGGTAGAGCATGGTGGGGTGGCACCAAAGACCCTTCTAATTGCATGGTTGGTGTCAGCATGGTGCAGGCCTAACCCTCCAAATCTCAGCCTCTCAGGTCTGGACAGGTCAGGGGAACCCTGTGGTTATGTGGCTCTTCACACACACCAAAGGATACAGAGCACTAAAATTGCAGCACATTTCATTATGGAAGTGGGCAATAAGCTGTAGTTAAATTTTCAGAATTAGGTAAGATTATGATACCTCTGTGTGAATAATTATTTCACAGCACAGTTATTTCTTTTCCTTTTTCTTTTTTCCTTTTTTTTTTCTTTTGAGGCAGAGTCTCACTCTGTCCCCCAGGTTAGAGTGCTGTGGCGTCATAGTTCATAGCAACCTCAAACTCTTGGGCTCAACTGATCCCCTTGCCTCAGCTTCCCAAGTGGCTGGGGCTACAGGTGCCTGCCACAAACGCTCGGCTAATTTTTCTGTTTTTAGTAGAGACGGGGTCTTGCTTTTGTTCCGGCTGGTTTCAAACTCCTGAGTTTAAGCAATCCACCTACCTTGACCTCTCAGAGTTGTAGGATTACAGGCATAAGCCACTGTGCCTGGCAAAAAGTACAGTATTTCGAGCGGCACCTGTGGCTCAAAGGAGTAGGGTGCCGGCCCCATATGCTGGAGGTGGCGGGTTCAGACCCGGCCCCAGCCAAAAACTGCAAAAAAAAGTACAGTATTTCTTATTATTTGTGTTTTGCCTTTTCGTTCTAATAGGTATTCTATTATTTTTGACACTACAGCACTCTACTGAGGGTGATAAAGTAAGACTCTGTCTCAAAAAAAATCTAAGAAAAATAACATTTAATTTTTAGCAGTCTTGGCTCGGTGCCTGTGTATCAAGTGGCTAAGGTGCCAGCCTCATAACACCTAAGGTGACGGGTTTGAATCCAGCCTGGGCCCTCCAAAACAGCAATGACGGCTGTAACCAAAAAATAGCCAGGCACTATGGTAGGCGCCTGTGGTCCCAGCTACTCGGGAGGCTGAGGCAGGAGACTCCCTTGAGCCCAGGAGTTGGAAGTTGTTGTGAGGTTACTCTACCCAGGGGGATAGCTTGAGGCTCTGTCTCAAAAAAAAAAAAAAAAATTTAGCAGTCTTGCCGGAGACCTGCAGGCATTATACCTGGAGAAGGCTCATGAGCCTGGGAATCCCTCACCTGCCTCGTCAGGACATGAGGGGGCTGTGTCCAGGCCCCCAGAGCCCAGGTGCCACACCAGGCGCCCCCCACTGTCCCTTCTTATGGGCACCACC